GATCACCGGAGCCCAGTAGGTCGAGGCTGCGGTGACCGGGAACGGCCACTGCACTCCAGTCTGGGTGACAGAGTGAGACTCCAACTCAAAAAAAAAAAAAGAAATACTAGGTTAGAAGCACCGTGGATTTGACTAATATGATTGTTACTGTGGTCTCAAGACAAGTCAGCCACTTCTGGCCTACTCCAGTCTAGCTTCCATTTTAAACAGTCCTTTACATATGTGTGTTCTTTTACATTGTAATCTTTCATTCTCATAGCTATGTTATGTAAGCACATGTCTATGTATTGATATGATTAAAAGGATGGACTAGGGTTGGGCATTGTTTTAAACATTTTGAGTTGTGTCTAAGATTGGGAGTAAATTAAAAAGTACAATAGAGATAAAAACTTAGAATTAGTCTAATAAAAGAAAGGAACTAAAAAGGGCCCTGCTGAGGAAAGAACAGAACTCCATCTTCCAAAGATGGATTATAGCAGGTGGAAAAGTACATTACCAATGTTGTGAAACTTTCCTTATGCTTTATTCTTATTTTTTCTCTCATCTTTATGTGAATATTAGATCTATATTGTTTATGTTATATAATAAAAATTTCTCTAGGACAGTTGATTCATTTCTTTTCATTTCCTTAAGCCTGGAGAAAATGCAGAAAGATACCGGTACAGGAAAAGAATCTGTTCTCCCTGCTGTGCTTCATAAACCTACTGTGTCCCGTACTGACCACATCTGGCACTATGATGAAGAATATCTTCCAGATGCCTCCAAGCCTGCTTCTGCCAACACCCCTGAGCAGGCAGATGGTGGTGGCAGCAATGGATTTATAGCTGTTAACTTGAGCTCTTACAAGCAAGAGATTGATTCCAAAGAATGGGTGATTGTGGACAAGGAGCAGGATCTTCAGGATTTTAGGACAAATGAGGCTTTAGGTCACAAAACAACTGGAAGCCCTTCTGATGAGGAGCCCGAAGTGCTTCAAGTCCTGGAGGAATCACCTCAAGATGAAAAGCTCCGATTATGTCCTTGGGCAAAAAATGATCATTTAAAGAAGGAAACCTCAGGTGTGGTCTTACCACTTTCTACAGAATGTCCTGCCACTGCTGCTTCAGAACAATATACAGATAGGATGGAACTCCAGGCTGGAGCTGCTAGTCAGTTTATTGCAGCGACACCCACAAGTCTAATGGAGGCACAAGCGGAAGGACCCCTTACAGCGGTAAGAAATATGTTCCTATCATTATTTGTTATTATCCACTGAAGCTGCTATTAAGAAAGGACTAATAGTTGATCACCTAAGCTTTTTCAGTAGAGGCCTAAGTTTGTCAAATGGGTAAAGGGGGTGATATTTGGACTAAGTGCTATAGTCAACCCTCCAATATGAAATTTTTCAAAAAATGAGGTTTTCTTTCATTGTACCAAATTCAATATACAAAATGTCATTATAACCTAATTTGATATAACATTTCTAATTAAAAAACAAGAGGTATCAATCCATATATGTTTATAGATAGTATGATTTTTTAAAAATTTGTAATTCTGGGGCCAGGCTCAGGCTCAGTCTGTAATCCCAGCACTTTGGGAGGCCGAGGCGAGTGGATTGCCTGAGCTCACGGGTTGGAGACCAGCCCGGGTGACTTGGCGAAACCTCATCTCTACAGTAAAAAAAAAAAAAAAAATTAGCCAGGCATGGTAGCGCGTGCCTGTAGTTCCTACTACTTAAAAAGCTGAGGTGGAAGGATCACTGGAGCCCAGCAGGTCGATGCATGGGTGGCCATGAGCATGCCACTGTATTCCAGCCTGGGCAACAGAGTGAGATTCCAACTCAAAAAAATTAAAAATAAAAATAAAATAAAGTTTGTAATTTTAGAGATTTTTACTATATATTTATTTGCTGAAGAAGGCATATATTTAACCATTCATGGTTTGTTCTTGACACTATATACCTTTGCTAAGTCCAAGCTTTTTATTCTCTTTCTCTTTTGTAACCTCCATCCAGAAATTTCTCATACTTTACATTCTGTTTTTGAGTTGGAGTCTCACCGCTTCACCCAGGTTGGAGTGCAGTGGCGTGCACCACAGCCTTAACCTCCTGGGACTCCTTCCACCTCAGCCTTCTGAGTAACTGGGACTATAGGTGTGCACCGCCACACCCCGCTAATTTTTTTATTTTTTTGTAGAGATGAGGTCTCACTATGTTGCCCAGGCTAGTCTCAAACTCCTAAGCTCAAGTAATCTTCCCATTTGGCCTCCCAAAGTACTGGGATTACAGACTTGAGTCACCATACTCAGTTTACATTCTTCTTAAACAATAGTTTTTCAGTTTTGATGGCCACCGTTTAAGGCCTCACTTTGGTAGGTATGAGATAAAGTGAGCTCAGGAATCTTCATTTTAATAAGCAGGTAGAGGCAGTTATGATACAGGTCTTTTGCAGAGGAAACTTTTGAGGAAACACCTGTTTACTCTCAGTTTTGAACATTCAGCTGTAGAGAAGCCTGTTACCAGTAAACAGTGATGCCCCTGGTGATTGTGTGAGCAGGAGGAACTCCAGAAAAGCCAGAGATGGACAAACAAAGCCCCCAAAGGCCTCCAGGCAATAAAGAACTGTGTACACACATCTTCAGCATCCACAGGCACATCTGTCTTTATGTGATGGGAGTTGACCGATTTCCTTAAATTTCATAATCTTCTAGCAGTCACCCTCTCACAACTCATTAGAAAATAGCATTGTCCCCCAAACTGAAATGTTTTCTATTAGAACACAATTCCACATGCAGGTATGGAACAGTGAGAAAAGACACCAATGAAATTTTATTTTGTTAACAGTTCTGAGAAATTTACTTGTGCTCCAAAATAGGGATAGTAATACCTGCCTGCTTTTTTCACCAATCAGAGTTAGTAAGTCTTTCCTTCTTTCCCAGGACTGCTTTGTACAGTAAGGTTGTTCATGGCATTAGAGGGACCTAGCCAAGGAAACAAATTGGGGCTGAAATATAACCCCAAGTTTGCTTTCTTTTTTTTTTGAGTTGGAGTCTCACTCTGTCGCCCAGACTGGAGGGCAGTGGCCACCGCAGCCTCGACCTGCTGGGTTCCGGCGATCCTTCCACCTCAGCCTTCCGAGCAGCTGGAATTACAGGCACGCGCTACGATGCCCAACTAATTTTTTGATTTATTGTAGACATGAAGTCTCGCCTGCCCAGGCAGGTCTCGAACCCGCAGGCTCAGGCAATCCATTCACCTCAGCCTCCCAAAGACGCGGGATTACAGGCTGAGCCACCAAGCCTGGCCCAACTTTGCTTTTTAAACTGTGAATCTCAGCACAGGACTGTTTCCCCTCTGAAGGACATTCTTTTCCAAATTGTATAAAGGTACCTTGTAGGCTAGAAGCAAATCCTACCACTTTTCTCCCGTCTTTTTTTCACCCTCACCTTTCCTGTTTCCATCATTCCCTCTTTCCACCTTCCTGGGTTCACGTTCTTCTTTTCTTTGACTTTGCTATGCTATGTACTATTATGCAAGCATTTTTCTAGTAGCATTCTGGTGTGCCTTCCCCCACAGAAGCTTTCTAAAGCTTTGGCTCCATTTCTAGTTTTTACCCTCTCTCAGTGCTCACCTATCCACAAAGATTTTTCTCATGGTTTTCTTACACTATCTGCAGTGTTTTCTCTGTCAAGTGTTTGAGAGACTTGTATTCATGTATTTGATAAGCTTGACCTTACTTTTAGATATCTTTTAATAAAATTCTTTCTCTTAACTGAAGTTCTCTAACTGTCAGTTATATCATTTGCATACTTATATCTCAAGGTTTTCGTTTCTTTTTTTTTTTAAATCAGAGTCTCACTGTCGCCTAGGCTGGAGTGTAGTGGCACACTCACAGCCACCGCAGCCTCAACCTGCTGGGCTCAGGTGATCCTTCTGCCTCAGTCTATAGCTAGAACTACAGATGTGCGCTACCACACCCAGCTAATTTTTTGATTTATTGTAGAGACGTGGTCTTTCCAAGTTGCCCAGGCTGGTCTTGAACCCTGGGCTCAGGCAATCCACTCACCTCTGCCTCCCAAAGTGCTGGGATTACAGGTTTGAGCCATTGCACCTGGCTTGTTTTTCTAAGAGACAAGATCTCACTCTATCACCTAAGCTGGAGTGCAGCAGCATGAGTATAGCTCACTGTAACCTCGACCCCCCTGGGCTCAAGTTGTCCTCCCACCTCAGCCTCCCAAGTAGTTAGGATTATAGGTATATGCCACCACACCCACCATTGTTTTATTTTCTTGTAGAGATGGGGGTCTTGCCATGTTGTCCAAGCTGCTCTTAAACTCCTGGCCCCAAACAGTCCTCCTACCTCAGCTTCCCAAAGTGCTGGGATTACAGGCATGAGCTCCTAGCCTTTTCTAAGATACTAAATTTCCCATTTCTTACGCTTTGGATGAAAATATATTTATCTTGATTTTCTTCCTGAGACTTAAATCAGGGTTTACTTTTACAAAGCAGTTGGTCTCACATCCCTAGTTTACCACAGATACATTAAATAGAGAGTGCTGCCAGTTAATCTTTTCAGATCTCTTGCAGCTCTGATTTTTACTCTAGCTTGGACAATGTGATAAAGCATATTACTGTTCTATCCGAACACTTTAAAATAAGATATATTCTGATGGGAAACTGAGTTCGTTCATTTATGTCTTTTTCACGCAGGATTATTTCTTTTTTATGATGATATGAAGGGAAACTATGCTAATATCTTAGTAGAGAGAAATAAACAAAGCAGGCTGGGCATGGTGGTTCATACCAGTATTCCCAAATTTTTGGGAGGCCGAAGCAGGAGGATCACTTGAGGCCAGGAATTTGAGAACAACCTGGGCAACATAGCAAGACTCCTGGTTCTACAAAAAATTTAAAAATTAGCTGAGTGTGGTGGCACATGCCTGTAGTCCCAGTGATTCAGGAGGCTGAAGTAGAAGAATTTTTTGAGCCCAAGAGTTCGAGACTGCAGTGAACTATGATCGTGCCACTGCACTTCTGCCTGGTCAACAGAGCAAGACCTTGTCTCAATAAAAAAAAAAAAAAAAAAAAAAAGACAAAGCAAAAGTTAACCTATTTATATTACAAATATAGTTGGGATATTAAATTAACATGCTAAGAACTTCGGGTATGCTTTAGTTCTCTTTATTACAAGAGAGTTGTCAGCCTTGTTTAGGACTTCCCTTATCCATATATATGAAACCACTTATTATCAAATAGCTTGTATAAAATTTTTATATAATATATTTTGAAAAATGGATATATTTGCTAGATTGAAAAGAAACTAATTTGAGATTAATTCGGAAATTAGTTTTTCTCCCAGGGCAAATAGTGATGAAATCGGTTCAGTATAAATCATTTCTAAAGAAGATGCTGAACAACATGGGTTTCAAGGGAGTAAAATAAGGCCAAGCTTTGACTTATAGAAGATATATTAAATTTACATTTTGATTAGCAAATGGAGAGATAAAATTAAACTGGCATAAATGAACGAGTATAGAGAAGAAAAGGAAACAATACAACTTGAACTCCTTCCAAAAGAGGCCTAACTACTGATCCAGAATGACATTAACTATAGGAAAGAATGTGAACAGTTTTGTGTGATGTTATGTGACTGTTGATAGGGAGAAGGATGAACTTTAACCAGTGATGTTGCAAAAGTGGAAGAGTTACTACCCGCAGAATAGAGAGGCAGATTGTACCACATGATCTCTTGGTTCTAAATAGTCCTTTAGAAAGCCAGTGTTTCATTTTAATATTACCTTTAGAAGCGGTATAAGTGTGACTGCAACTAATAGCACCACCTACATGTTGTCTATTGCTGTGTAACAAATTACCCCCAAACTTCATAGCTTTACACAACAAGCAGTAATTATTTCACACAGTTTCTGTGGTTGGAAATACAGGAGTGGTCCTTAGTTCAGTGGTTCTGGTGCACAGTCTCTCATGAGGTTATTGTCAAACTGTCAGCCAGAGTTGAAATCATCTTAAGGTATGACTGGGATGGGAAGATTTACTTCCAAGCTCACTCATATGGCTATTAGCAGGCCTCAGATCCTCACTGACTATTGGGCAGAGACTTTAGTTCCTCACCATTTGGGTATGTCCATATTGACATGACATCCAGCTTTCCCAGTGAGTGAGGTGAGAAAGAGACATAGATGGAGGAAGAGATGGAGCGAACATGCCCCCACCAAGAT